CACAATCGAACCAGTTTTTACTGTTTCTGTTTCTGTCACTGACTCATGGTTGAACCTCGTGTTGCATTCACTTACTACAGAAAATACCAGCTTCAGTAAACATTGTCGTCATTGTGTGACTTATTTTCTGATCATGAGGAAAGTGTTTGACTCTTTCCCTCTCTCCCGTCTTTCCCACGCATTGTGAACACATCACCAGCTCAGTGCAGCTTTATGGAACGTCTGCTGCTTTCAAGTGCTTAAAGTGCATTAAAGCCACTAACTGACATAAACATGTGTACTCATGAAGTGTTGCATTTACTGACAAGCTCTGCTGTAGGACAATCAAACACTGAGGATCCACATGCACATCCTTCAAAAAGAACACAGGTGACCAGTCCATCAGTCAGTCCTGTCACTTTTCTTACTATAGAAATAAAGTATAAAGTATAAAATATTTATTCTTCATTCACAACATGACAACCAACTTTTCTAAATCTATTTTTCATCATCTTTACATCACTGGGTTTAGATGTTGAATCAATAGAATTCAATAGAAAATAAGAAAAGCTATTCTCCATCAACACTTATTCATAATAATTTGATTTATAATCATTTATAATTTATAAATAAAAAAGGAAGACAAAATGTGTAAATACACATAATACACACAATGGGAGTCCCTCCTCCCGTTCAAACAACCAAGCTTCGATCAACTTGTTAACTCCATAAAACGTGTCAGTAGCTGAAACATTCTTCCTTTGAAATGTTCTGGATCAATTTTTCACAAGCTGCAGATCTTCACAACGTTCAACATTAAAATGACAAACAGATCATGAGGAAATAACTTTATTCAGACGTGTCTGTCTCACAGCACAGATCTCTTCTCTCTGTTTCTCTGCTGCTTCATGGATCAATCACTTGTTATTGAACTGTTTTTGGAGGGAAAACAGACTGATATGATCTTGTTGTGGGTTGATCAGATATTAGTTGTTGTATTGTGTTGTTGTGTTTTGATATGAACAGGCGATCATGACCACGCCCACTGAAGAGACAGGAAGTGTTTACCGTGTCTTACCGTTGGTGCAGGTTGTAATGCGTCATCTTCTGTCATAGAGGATCTTTGGTTTAAAGTCAGTGTGATTATAGGAATCTCCTCTCTCACAGTTTATCTCTCGTCTCTTTTGAAGGTGAAGAGTGAAAGTCATTTCCTCCATGAACAGAGGTGATCATGTTGTGAAGGAGGGAAACAGAGGCAGGCAGAACTTTGTCTCCTACAAACTTCCTGAAGAGCTGAAGTAAAAATCAAACTGTGTTTAGCACAAATAAAATCTACAAACACCTTTTTTAGAGTGAAGTGTTTCAGTTTGTTAATCCTGACTGTAGGTGAGACACTTGAATGCATCAGATCCACCTGAACACAAGCTGCTGGTTCAGTCAGTAAACGTGACGTCCACTGAAGTGTCACAGTTTATATGTGAAGCAGCCGTCTGTGTGTGTGTGTGTGTGTGTGTGTGTGTGTTTCTACTGATTGTTTATTGTCTCTGTTGTGTGTCAGCTTGTGCGTCAGGTCGCTGGATGTGAGGATTTAGTTTAGGAGAAAAGAAAAAACTCTGGATGTTGTTCTGTTTCCATCAGAGTGTGTTGGATCGTCTCCTTCGAGGTCATCGTCTGTCGTGAGAAAAGAGAGCTGCGTGTGTGTGTGTGTGTGTGTGTGTTTGTGTGGTTCCCTGTCGAAAGCCGGTTTGTTGCCAGCACTGAGGAAACACTCCACTATTTCTCCTCTGAGTCACAGGAGATATTTGTTTGGACGCTGCAGCTCCACCAGAAATTTAAAATAATAAAAAAAGAAGCGCTTGGTCCGATCCAGAGAAAAATAAAAATCCCCTGTAATCTCTCAGCTCTCACTGCGTCTCTCCGATACTCCACACACATAAAAACCCTCCGACTTAAGCAGCAAACTGCAGCAGAAGTGATGCGACGGAGCAGCAGGTGATTCGCTCTGACAGCCCAGAGACAAGAGGAACGTTTCCTCTCCAACTCAAACAGCAGCTGAATCTCTAATGTTGAGTTCAAAGACTGTCAGAGAAATAGTTCAGGGTCAGTTACACATCAATTACCAGAGGTGGAAACAGTGTTCATGTCCTGTCACGTCCCAGCTGCAGCTACACTGAAAAACATTTAGTAAAAGTAAAAAGGAAGTTTCACGCAAGTAAAACTGACAAGGATCCCACTTGCTGGTGCTTTTGATCGTAATATTTTTCAGAATAAAACACAAAAGTCTCCATTTGTCGGTGCTCGAAAAAGCCGGAGTCGTGTTGACGGAGGAGGAAACGTAGGAGAAGAGATTTGTGTGAACGGAGCCTTTTACTGAAGTACAGAAGTAGATTAAACTTATTTAGTTGTTGTTGTTGTTGTTGTTGTTGTTGTTGTGTTCAGTGTTGGTCAGGACAGGTTCACAGGGAACGAGTTTATCTTTCTCTCTGTCTTTGCTGCCTTTATTTGACTTTATTTTACAACTTGTTTCACTAAATGAACCAGGCTCAAAGGTTCACTTACTCACTTTCAGAGCTTTCCACTTCATCTCTCAGTCAGCAGCTGATTCAGCTGAGTCTGTTCGGTCATATGTTTCATTGTTCTTCTTTTTCCTCTCAGTCTCTCCTGATGTCAAACCTGTTTGACTGCAACACACACACACACACACACACACACACACACACACACACACACACACAAACACACACAAAATCAGAACATCCCGTCACCATCTCTCTCTGTCTCTGAGTGTCTCTCGCCCTCCTCTGTGCTGTAATACCCCAGGGACCTCCAGCAGAGGCCTCCACCTCCCCACTGCTGCTCCTCAGGGACTCCACACCTCCTCCTCCCCTGCTCCTCCTCTCTGTTGTCTCCTCTCTCTATCAGCTGATCAGCCTCAGCTGTCTGAGTGTGTGTGTGTGTGTGTGTGTGTGTGTGTGTGTGTGTGTGTGTGTGTGTGTGTGTTCACCTGAGGCTGAGGTGTGAAAAAACACCTTCAGTCACACTCCTGAGACTGTGTTTACTTTTTCCTTTCTCTCCTTTTGTTCTTTTATTCCCTTCCTTCTCATTTCCTTGCTTTTCCTTCCTCCTCTGTGTCTCCTTCTTCTCTGTCTGTTCTTCTTTTCTTATTTCCTTTCCTTGTGTTTCCTTTCTTTTTGCATCTTTACCTTTTTTCTTTTCTTTATTCTTATTTCTTCTTTTTCTTTGACCCCTTCCTTTCTTCCTTTCTTTTTCTTTTCTTTCATTCCCTCACCTTCTTTTATTTAGTTCCTTCTCTTCTTTCTCGTTTCCTTCTCTTTTCATTCATCCTTTCTCTTTTCTTAAACTCCTCTGTGTGTTTGTGTTTGTGTAATAAAGTGTGTGTGTATTTATCTATTTATCCGCCCTTCCATCGCCGTGGCGACACACTGAGCTGCCAGTGCTGAGATTGGACGTTTCCTCTCCCGTGGGCTGATGGGAAAACAGCCCCAGGGCGAGAGAGAGAGAGAGAGAGAGAGAGAGTGAGTGTGTGTGTGTGTGTGTGTGTGTGTGTGTGTGTGTGTATCTTCTCACTGACTCCTCTTCTTCTTTCCTCTCCTCCGTCAGCTCCTCCCTCCATCTCTCTGTATCTAGGGGCGGAGGTCGTGTAATGAACTCGTCTCTGTTTTTCCGGCGGCGGCGGCGTCACAGTGAAGGCGGAGACTCAACAGGTTGATTGACAGGCGGTTTGAGCCCGACCTGTAGGGGGCGCCACAGAAGCTGGTGTCAGAATCTCACCAGTTTCTAACAAGCAGCAAGTTTTTTTTACCAAAATCTGAGGAGCCATATTGATTAGTACAAGTGGGCGTGGCCTATTTGCTCCAGATGCCTTTGAGTAATACTGTTAAACTCAGTGGAGTGTGTCACCTCCTGAGCTTCATCTTTAGAGGCTCCAGTCAAACGACATTTCAACTCTTTCAGAATAAAAACCAGAGTCTGTTTAAAGCCTTTTCTAAATGAAACTCTCTCTCTCCCCCTCTCTCTCTCCCTCTTTCTCTCTCCCTCTCTCTCTCTCTCTCCCCACATCCTGTCACCTCTCTCTTCTCCCTCTTTCTCTCTCTCCCTTCTCTCTCTTTCTCCTCTCCTCTCGCCTCTCCGCATTCGAAAATCTCATGCGCGGGGGTCACATTCACGCAACACTCGCCCTTATAGACAGTACTACAAGGACCGCTAGCTGACCCGACAGTGTGCCTCCTTAATACCAGGGCCATGAGGAAATCAAACACAGCGGCGTGACTAAGGGGCTATCTAATGCGCCCCGTCACTGAAGCCGGCCCGGAACGCCCAGACCTCCGCCTGTCCCTGCCTAGATGAGCATCCAATGCACTGACCTCGTCCACTACCTCCAAGTCCCGTTGAACCGCTGCACCGACTGGTATCGCTCCGAGCCGTGCTCTCACCACGCACCCCCTCCCGTCTTTCTCTCTCTCTCTCTCCTCTCCCTCGCTCTCTCTCTCCCTCCTGTCTTCTGCTCCTCCCTCCCTTCTCTCTCCCCCTCTCCCCCCTATCCTTTCTCTTCTGCTCTCTCTCTTCTCGTCTCTCTCTCTCCTACTCCCCCTCTCTCTCTCCCTCTTTTCTCTCCTCTCTTCTCTCTTCCCCCTCTGCCCTCGCGTCTCTCCCCTCTCTCTCTCCTCCTCTCCGCTTTCTCTCTCTCTCTCCTCTCCTCTCCCTCTCTCTCTCTCTCTCCCCTCTCTCCCTCTCTCCATCTCACTCTCCTTCTCTCTCTCTCTCTCCCTCTCTCTCTCTCTCCTCTCCTCCTCCTCTCTTCTCTTCTCTCCTCTCTCTCTCTCTCTCTCGCCGCCTCTCTCTGTCTCTTCCCTCTTCGTCATTCCCTCTCCCTCTCTCTCCTCTCTCTCCCTCCGCCTCTCTCTCCCTCTCTCTTCTCTCCTCTCTCTTCCCTCTCTCTCTCTCCCTCTCTCTCTCTCTCTCTCTCCCTCTCTCTCCCTCTCTCTCTCTCTCTCTTTTAGGAGGTGCTGTTGAAGCGAGCCGCTGACCTGGTTGAAGCTCTGTACGGGATGCCACACAACAACCAGGTGAGTCAGCAGCTGCAGGTGTTTGATTCATACCTGAGGAAACTGGTACCTTCTCCTTTCTATTAAAGGACCTGTATCTCACACACTTTGATCTCTGAGCCTCTGATTGGCCGACAGAGTGACAGCTTGGTAAAACAGCTAGCTGCTAGCTTTGTTGTGACATCAAAAAGTTCCAGAAGTTCTTGAGCTTTCAGTTGTATTACATGATCTTCAGCAGAATAAGAATATTGATTGTTTTCATAACTTTTTTATTTCTCCCTGCCCCTCCTCCCCCCTGCTCCTCCCTCCTCCCCCTCTCTCCCTGTGTGCAGGAGATCATCCTGAAGCGAGCAGCCGACCTCACCGAGGCGCTCTACAGCGTCCCCCGCAGTCACAACCAGCTGCCGTCTCTCACCGGCTCGGCCGCTCACTCGGGGATGATGGGAGTGAACTCGTTCAGCAGTCAGCTCGCCGTCAACATCTCCGAGGCCTCGCAGGCCGACCAGGGTGAGACCCCATGCCTCCGCCCTCCACCGGGGGCGCACCGGTACACCTGCACACCTGCGCTGTGTGGCTGTTCAGTAACCTGCAGTCATCTTCGTCAGAGTTCAGGAGAGACCTTTAGACCTGCACACGGTCCAGTCCAGGAAACCACCTCACCACCCAGTAGAGTCC